CCTCAGAAACACCTGCAAAGTGACTGTGACATCTCCAAGTTTCTTCTACCTCAAACATTTTGTGGTTCTTTTCCTTTGCTTATAAATTAGAATAGTCATTACAACCTAATGAGGGTGTAAGTGTGGAACAACCCAGTTTTTCTTGAAATTAGACATCACATGACTAGATGACAACATTGATACTTGAGTCTTTATTACAATCAATTCAAGGAATGCTTAGGGTATAGTTTGGGAGTATGTCTTCCTACTACTTTTTTGACAGACTTGAAGTAATGTAACTGAATCCTCTTATTTTTCTACTTTCTATGTCTCTCCTTATACCTAGACAATTGAATAAAGCTTTTTTTTTTTTTTTTTTTTTTTTGCTTCCCCCCACCAACTACATCTTAACAAAGGAACAGACTGTATAAGAATGTAAGAGGAAGCTGGCATAGTTGAGAGGATTTCTTTTTCTTTTTTTTTCTTTTTTTCTTTTTTAAAGATGGGGTTTCACCATGTTGGTCAGGCTGGTCTTGAACTCCCGACCCCAGGTGATCCACCCGCCTTGGCCTCCAAAGTGCTTGGATTACAGGCGTGAGCCACCACACCCGGCAGTTGAGAGGATTTTGAAGGCTGGTGCACTGGACACAGCTACACGAGCTAGAGTTGTCTTGAGATACTCTGAACGAAGGAGCAGCATACATTAATCTAATCTATGTAGCTGCTTACCCTTTCTACAAATACCCATCCAGGTCAGACACATCGTGCTCTTTGCTTTTTTCCTTTTTAAAAGAACGCTCATTGAGTCATCTCCAGGAAAATCTTAAAGTGAATCAGTGGCCACAACTACATTCTCTGCCATCCTCTGGGTTGCCTTCCTGATTGAGGTTATTATGAAGAAACGATAGAGCATAATCTCTTCTGCGTGGGCATAGGACCTTAATGAAGACACCAATAAGCCTTCAGCCAGGGAGGGCCTCAAGGCCTTGAGTTGTGGAGAGGGCAGGCCAGGGTTGCCTGTCCACCTGTTTTGATAAAGAATTCCTGTCCTGTTTGTGCCCAGAGTTGTTTAGTCAGGGTGGAGAGAGGATGCAGCACTTGGTGGTGTGATCGGAAGGATGAGCTCTGTAGGGGATTCTGGAAGATGTAGCAATCCTTCTTCCCTACCCACATTCAATACTTCATCCATTTTTTAATTGATCTTGTATGTTACTTCAGGAGAACTGGGGATGATAGATATTCTTCAGGAAATGGTGACTTATTAATGCTAGGAGAGAGATGATAGCAAGCTGTATTCTAGAAATGGGGCTTAATTTATAAGATGGAGCTCTTCTTAGCTACAAATAGGATTATGCAATTTATAAATTTAATTTAGCAAGTGAAAAGGAGTGACCAAAGAACATCAGGAAAACTAGTGGTTATTTAAGACTTTGTACCTTGTGAACCTAAACTACCTATTTTTCCATGAGCTACTGGAAGGAAGGGGTTTACTCTATTTGAAAAAAGAGGGGAGGGCAAAAATATGTTAGTAAGTATATCTGGTGATAACTTTATAGGTTCATAGGTCTTCCTTCCGTGTTTTTAATTCTCCAGCCTTAGTTTTTTCATTTAGTAGTGCTCAGGGGTGTTAACAGGTTATGCTCTGGAGGAGTGTGAACTTGCTTGAGAACTTTCCAAGTTCAAAGCAAAAGAAATTGGGGAATTTTGCCAATGACCTTTGAGGATTGCATTATTTGTTTTCCTGCCAGAGCCTGTCACTCACAGCTGATTCTCCTACCAAAGAAGAAGTGACTGAAAACAGCACAGGAGGCTGCTTGGTTGGTAGGAGGTGCTCAAAGGACAGAACTAAAATATTTGGGTGGATATTAAGGAGAAGTATATTTCAAATTCGGTATAAAGGGAGTCTTTACAATAGCCGAGCCTAGCCAAAATGTGAAGGCTATTTTGGGAGGCAGAGGTTTTTTGTCATTAGAGATATTTTTAAAAAGGTTAGAATGGTCTTTTTAGGGGAATATTCTAGGGCAGGGCTTAGCAAACTTTTTCTGTCAAGGGTCACATAGTAAAATAGTTTAGGCATTTGCCTCGGCTACTCAATTATAGTATTGTAGTGCAAAGACAACCAAAGACAATAAGTGAACAAATGAATATGACTGATATTTATCTGCTCTGGCTGCCCTAAGAAAATACCATAGGCAGAGTGACTTAAATCACAGAATTTTATTTCTCACAGTTCTGGCTGCTGGGAAATCTGAGATAACGGTGCTGGCCAATGTGCTCTCTGTGAGGGCTTCCTTCCTGGCTTCCAAACAGATGCCTTCTTGTCCTCACATAGTAGAGAGGGAGACAGATATTTATTTCTTCCTCTTCTTATAAGGCCACAATCCTAACAGATTACCGCCCTACCCTTATTACCTCATAAAAAGCTGGAGGTTAGGGCTTCAACGTATGAATTTTATGGGAGGAGTCTACCATTTCGTCCACAGCAGCTGTGTTCCAGTAAAAGTTTTTTTTTTTTTAAATAAAAACAAGAGGTGTACTATATTTATCCCAAAGACCATAGTTTGCCAACCTGTTGAATAGAGAAAATCAAACACTGGTGAGAGAGTAGACTGAGTTATCTACCGGTTGATAGGTTAAAAACCTGGAGGCTATCCATAAGAAACCTGCAAAACTGACTGGATCAGAAGAAACCTAATTCAGGGCTCATTGACCAGTGTTTCTCAGAACAAATCATTTAATAAACAAAAATAGTTACTAAGTCCAGAATTAATTTTACTTCAGTGTGCATCAAATCTCTGCTTTTGGCTGATGGGAGATACAAATGGTAAACTATGCTGGGGTCATCTTTAGAACAGGCCTGGTGTAGTGCTATAGCTATAAACAGTGCCAGTTGTAAAGTCTTTTGTCACTGATCAGCATACAAACCTAACTTTTTTTTTCCTTTTGCAGCAAAGCCGTGATTATTAATCTCTTTATTTGTAGGAGAAGGGTCTCTAAGATGTTTCTCAGCTAGTAGCCTTCTCCCTCCACTTCTTTGGAGAGAAAAATGGAAGCCACTAAATAGGAACTCCCTCTGTATTTTGCCACAAATCATAGAAGCTTAAGTGCCTCTGCACAGTCACTGCTTTTCTCCTTTCTTTCTGTGGCAGTAAAGCATGAGAACCTTTACCGCTGACTCTAACACCCAGTACCTTCAGGCTTTTTGAGATCTCATCACCAGTTTCTTCTGCGTAACTTTAAAAAAAGGGTCCATTTTTCCACTCAACTCTTGTCCCAAGACTGCCCCAGCATTCTATCTTGTTTAAAAATAGAAACTAAACACAAATTCAATTCCAGAGACATTATACAATGTAAATTTAACCGGAAATGGAGGACAGAGTTGTACCGCACATATATAAAACTCTACTTCAAAACCATTTTGAAACATTCTGACAGCCCTAACTCCACACCTGAAGTTCATCCCTCATCTTTTGTTTTCCCTGTAACTCTCCTCTTCTGTCTTGTTTTCTCTTCTTTCTAATCACCACTCTTCTGTGTCTCCTCTCTGTTCCTGGATTTTTCAAGTGGCACTTTCTGGGACTTTTTACATACAGAGAGATTTTGTATCTTTCAGCTTCTTTCATATTCATCCTGGTATATCACTGTGCTGGGACCCTTAGCAATTGTTATAAAATGCAAATCTGATCACACTCTTTGATGGAACATATTCAATGGCTCCACATTGATCTGGGGTTTAATTGCCAAACTCCTCACCTGTTCTAAAAGACAGCGTCATCTGGACCCTGCTCAGCTTTTTGATTATGCTGATCTCCCTCATCAATTTCGATATTGCCAAGTTCCTTGTTTTGGCATTGCTCTCTCTCTCTCACTCATGGGCCTTCACATGCTTCTTTGTGCCCAGAGTCCTTATAATCTTCCTCTGTACTTGGCAGAGGCATCCTTCTTGTAACAGCTAGAAACCACTTTCTAAAGAAAGCATTCCTTGGCCAGGCCTGGTGGCTCATACCTATAATCCCAGGGCTTTGGGAGGTGGAGGCTGGAGGATTGCTTGAAGTCAGGAGTTCAAGACTAACCTGGACAACAACGTAAGACCTCATCTTTACAAAAAATTTAAAAAATATAGCCAGATGGGGTGGCACATGCCTGTAGTGCCAGCTGCTCAGACAGCTGAGGCAGGAGGATTGCTTGAGTGCAGGACTTCAAAGCTGCAATGAGCTATGACTGCTCCACTGCCAGGGCAACAGAGTGAGACCCTGTGTCAAAAAAAAAAAGAAAAGCTTTCCTTCACTCTCACTCTCTGTATTAGATATGCTTTCTAACTTCCTGTTTTTATTTCTCAGGAAAGCCTTTTATTTCTCCCATGCTGGTATTGTTATGCTTTTGAATTTGTCTGTAGACTCTTAGTTCATGAGAGTAGGGGCCATGTTTATTGTGGTCACCATTTAATTCCATCACTTAGCAGAGTACATGGCACATAGAAGAGCCTTAGGAAGTATTTTTTGGATAAATTATCTACATTTAAAATGCAACTTTATTTTTTTCACATTTGATTAATTCTAATACATATAAATTTATACCTTATTACATAATTTTAAAACTCATTTACATTATGAAGTAAAATACTATTATTTTTACTTTATAAAGTATTTTTACTTTATCAAAAGGAACAAATGCATATTATTCATAGAAAATTTATTTTATATTTCTATTTGTCATTTTCTGTTTATGCTCCATAAGGTTTTATGACTCACAATAATAGCATTTTTAGAGTAGAAGTCTATATAAAATATATAATTTTTGTTATTCTTCAGAATGAAGGATTAAATTGAAGATTAAAAAAAAATTTCCACTGAAGTTTTGATTATGACAGCATTATGGAGTGCCTATTGGTTTAGAAACTGCTTTAGTCTTACCTTCAATGAATCCTGAGAAGTGCAGTGATAATGCTTAACATATTTTATGTGTGTGTGTGTGTGTGTGTATATATATATATATATTTTTTTTTTCTGTTTATACTTTAGATAAGAGTGCCCAGCAGTGGAATCTTGAAATAGAGTCTACATTTGATGTTGTCAGTTCAAAGCCAGTTGATGGTCAAGTGATCATAGCCATCCCTAAATTGCAAACACAACAGACGTACAACATTGAACTTCAACCTGGGAAAAGGATTGTTGAGCTATTTGTGAACATTAGCAAGGTGAATGACAGTACTTCCTGAGAAGCACTGGATGAAAAGCAATACTGGTCCTAAAGAAATGATTAGAAAAGAGGCACTAAGCATGAACGAAAAATCTTTCTCTGTTTATATTTGTCATTTTCTTCTCTATTTTTAGTCCCTCATATATTTTCTGTGAGTATGAGCTAAATAATGACTTTCCAAATGTTAAGACTAAGAAAATGAAGAACATATCATTACTTTGGCAACTTTTCCTCTCATTTTATTTTCTTATCATTATATTTTAATTTTCTGTGGTATTTGCAGTATCCTGAAGCCAAAATATATTCTATGGATTATATTTAAATAGCAGTGGTTATTTTTGGTATTTGTCAGTTATTTTGATTATTGATACTTACTCTATACACATAATTCTAATTCTAAACTCATGATCTTTCATCCGTCAAGGTAGAATGGAATATTTTTATCTTTTCTTTTCCCTTTTTCTATTCCTCTAATTGATAATTGTGTACTGAAAAAGGTGGAGCAAAATAACATTCAGTAGCTGTTGAGATAAAGAACTCAAAATGATTTTTAGTTCTTGGCTTGAAAGAAGGGTCTACTTCAAATTTCCGTTCTAAGTGTTAAGAATGTAGAGTAATCATATGCTCAGTGTTAGAGATAGGAAGAGTTGTTTTTCTGAACATCCATGTTATTCTGTTCTTTCCTTTTGCTTTTGATATATTGATCCATGCTAGATTCCCAGCATGCCGTTTTTTAAATATTATCAATGAATTGGTATGATTTGGCATAATATAGGTAGGGAAATTTACATTGTTTTAGGACCTAGAGTTTTTTACTTGACTATACAAGAAATTGATGTAATGTGTTGAGCCTTTTTTTGCTGAAAATATGACGTTAGAGTGACCTTTTAATTTTCTTAAAAGAATATTACTGTAGAAACTTGGTGGCCTCATGGACATGGAAACCAGACTGGGTACAACATGACTGTTCTTTTTGAACTGGATGGAGGCTTAAATATTGAAAAATCAGCTAAGGTAAGTAAGTAATTTAAAATATTTTGTGAAATAATTATATTTCTTTTAAAAATAGTAATATAGATCTTCATGGGAAAAGAAGAAAGCATCAACACTGTTATGTCCCCACCACTCAGAGATAATCTCTAGTAACAGCATTCAATAGCTTCCCTGTATGTATTTACATACATACATACATATACATATGTATTTTCTTTTTTTAAATTTTTTGAGACAGAGTCTTACTCTGTCACTCAGGCTGGAGTGCAGTGGTGCAATCTTGGCTCACTGCAACTTCTGCCTCCTGAGTTCAAGCAATTCTCCTGCCTCAGCCTCCTGAGTAGCTGGGATTACAGGCATGTGCCACCATGCCCAGCTAATGTTTGTATTTTTAGTAGAGATGGGGTTTTCCCATGTTGACCAGGCTGGTCTCGAACTCCTGACCTCAAGTGATCAACGTGCGTTGGTCTCCCAGAGTGCTGGGATTACAAGTGTGAGCCACCGCCCCCGGCCTTATATTTTTAAATAGATCATCCTTTAGGTATTGTTTTGTCAATAAGTAGTCTCCTGCTATGATTTAAAATTGTACCTTATATCAAAATAATACATGTGTGTAATTTTAAAACTTAAATATTACCAGAAAGTTTATATGAAAAATAAGACCCCCTTGCCCAACACTTCCTTTTCCTACTTCCTACTCCTCAGAACCAGTAATTTTTAACTTTTATTTCCTCTAATACTCTTCTTCATTTTTCTAAATAAGTTACTTCTACTGGTGTTTTCTGATTTTTCAGTTTTGCCCATTTTAGGATATAGCACTAAGAATCGGAAAGAACTGCACTTTGTTTTTTAATAGCCATAGGCTACTTACTTAATCTCAAAATACATAAAGTGAGTATAATAAAAACGAGATGGCTTGGATCTGGCTTACAACAGTCATGGCATATAGTTAGTAGAAATGGTATTAACCCTCTTCAAAGATCTTCTCTCCCAGACACTAGCTTTGCTGTTTACATTTGGCTAGTGTCACCTCTCACATTTGGTATTACCTCTCCTGTGGGCCGGACAATACGCTAAGGTGGGGAATATGTCCTTCAGGAGTGCATTTCCTATTTTTCTTTTGTTCAATCATGCTGTGTTATTTTCTGAGATACTGTGAATGTATGTGTGTGTGTGGTGTGTGTGTATGTGTGTGTGTGTTAGAGAGAGAGAATGAGCGTGTGAGAGCACACACATGCACAGAGTTATGTACACGGAGAACATACTGTATCTGTCTTTAGGACCAAATCATTCACTCTTATTCTAACCCTCTTGGCTGAGAGGATGTGTGCTCTCTCACACAGTGAGTTTGTTTTGTGTTATTTTCATGAAAATGTAAAAAGTCGTGAGCCATTCCAACTTATGACAGAGAAAGAAGAGGAATTTCTTTCTTTTTCAAAGGGAAAGAATTCTTTTTCATTCAGGCTAATGTGACTGTATTATTGTTTATTACACATAAAGATGTGAACCTTTGAATCAAGCAGCAACAGAAGTGAAGGAGGATGTGTGCCGTGTGCCTTGAGTTAATGCCTGTGTGTGAAATGTGCTCTTTGGCTGTGGCTGCTGTAGTTTGCTAATTTTGAGGCTCATTCATTCAGTAAATACTTAGGGCACACCTACTGTGTTTTGGCTATTTTGCTATATCCTGGTGATAGAGCTGTGACTATGACACTGCTTCTATTTCTGAGACCTTAATAGAGCTAATCATCTCCTTGGGAAGTTAAATCATTAAATGAGGCATTGCAATAAATTAGCACTCTAGAGATGAAGAGCATGCTGTGCAAGTTCAGAGCAGGGGCATTCTGGGAAGATTCCCAGAGCCTATGTCCCTAGGGATAAGTGGAATTTGGCTGAGTAATGTAGCAAATAGGCAGAGGAAAAAGAATGTGAAGGGCCAAGGACTAGAAAGAATGTTGTGTGTTTTCGGAAGTGAAAGAAATTCCGATGCAGCTGTGGTTGAGTTTGACGTTGAAGAACAAGAGATGGTGTTATAAAAGCATCTAGGACAAGGTCCTGCAGGGCCTAGTGAGACACACGAAGGAACGAGCACTGTCTCGAGGGCTGCCAGGATTCTTGGAAGGATTTTAAGGAGGGGGTAAGGATCAATACGCATGTTTTACAAAGATTGTGTAGATCAAGTTGGAAAAACGACGAGAGTAGGGGACCAGTTAGAAGACTCTGGTAGTAATTCAGACACAAAATGAGGATTGGTTGGTTTACAGAATTGCTGATGAAACAAATCTGAAAGAGATTTAGGATATAACATCAGCAGGCTTGATGATGTGGGGGTGGGAAAAAAGAAGAAGTTAAGAATAGTTCCTCAGTTGCTGGTCTGGGCTGCTGAACAGTCGGCAACTCTGTTCTTGAGTTCCCTTAGAAAGAAGAGAAGATTTGGGGGAAGGGATTGGGTAGGAATTATTTCAGTGATGGACGTGTTTTGTGTGGAGTGACTGAGAAACATCCAAGGAATACTATTTGATGGGTGGTTTATTAGGTAGGTCTTAAGCTTAGGAATTGCATCTGGGTTAAGGATATAGATGTGTAAGTCAGCAGAATATAGATAATTGTAGCCATGGTAGTGGATTAACTACCTCATCTGCTGGTACAGAGAAAAGAGCTAGGACAGAACCCAGGCAGTCGTAACAAGTAAGGTTGGGGTTTGGAAAGAAGCCTGTAGGAATCTAAGAAGGAATGATTGATGAGATGGAGGGAAAACCAATTTGACTGGGGAGTCACAGAAACTAGTGGGAGAGAGTGTTTTAAGTATGTCCACACACACACACACACACACATGCGCACATGCACACGCACACGCACACACACACACACATACACACTCATACACCCTCATATTGCCTAGCTTTTCCCACACATTTCCTAATCTTTTCTCAGAGCTCCTGGGAAGAGTGGCTCCTAGTAGCAGTGAATGGATTTAGGACTCATATCTTGATTTGGAATTCTGTATTAAAAGCAATCAGGGCTCTTTGGAGAAATGACTGACTCTCAAGTTGGAGCCTAGAATATTTTGCTGTTGCAGAAAGTAAGGAGATACTCAAGAATGATGTGACATGTTGAAAGGACACAGGGGCCTAAGTCTTCAGTCTTCAATATACTATAATCTTCAAAAATGTCAAGGAAAGCTTGAGGAACTGTTCTATGTTGGAAGAGACTATGCACAAACTGAATGCAATGCAGTGATCTTTTTTGTCATAATGTTACTGGGGTAACTGATGAAAACTTGAAAGGGGGTCTCTGGGTGATGATCACACAGGAGTTCCTTGTACTATTGCTGCAAGTTTATTACAAGTTTGCAATGATTTCAACAAAGAAAAGGATACTATTAAGAGAATGAAAAGCAACAGCAAAATCCTGATGGGAAGGGGCCAGTAGAGAGGGAAAGACTAAAAAGAGTTTGAAAGCAGGGAGGTAGTTGAGAGGGCCAGGTCTCTGGGAGGTAGGAATTAAGAAGTGGATGGATTCACTTTGGGATGAAGTGTTCTGTTTTAGTTGTAATAGTGGTGAAAGATAACACATGGGAGGAAAGGATGCAGCTTGAGGATGGAAGTAATTTTGAAGGTCTCTAGGACCACTTAAAGTAGATTTTCTTTCTATAAGACTTGCAAACTCTTTTGTCAGTGGAGTTTTAGGGTGACAAAGTAAACCTGAGAAAGAAAGCTAGGGAGTTTTGGTGAAATAACGTTTTTTAATTTATTGTGAATGAAATATAACACATACAGAAAAATAAACAGACCATAAATGCAAAGCTTAATGAATGATGAGAAAATGAACACTCATGTAACTGTCATCCTGTTTAAGAAACAGAACATTAATTATAGCACTTCACACCTCAAAATCTCCCCTCCCTTTTGTGAGCCTCCCCAGTCATGACCCCTCTTTCCTTCCCGAAGATCCACTATCCTGGCATCCATCATTAGGTTACTTTTGCCTGTTTTTGAATTTTATGTACATGGAACCATATACCATGTATTCTTTAGTGTGTGGCTAATTTGGCTCAACATCATGGTTTGTGACATTTAGATACAGTTATCTCTCCTTATGTGGTTTCAGTTACCCGTAGTCAACTGTGGTCTGAAAATAGTAAATGGAAAACTCCAGAAATAAGCAATTCATGAGTTTTAAATTGCACTCTGTTCTGTGTCGCATGATGGAATCTTGTGCTGTCCTGCCCTGTCTTGCCCAGGACATGAATCATCACTTTGTTGAGCTTATCCATGCTGTATACATTATCCACCTCTTAGTCACTTGGCGGCCTTCTCCTTCATCAGATAGAAAAAACATAGTATATATGGGATTCGGTACTATCTGCAATTTCAAGCATCCACTGGGGATCTTGGAACGTATCCCCTGCAGATAAGGGGGGACTGCTGTTTGGTGTTCTGTGTAACTGTAGTTTGTCTATTTACATTGTGTAAGATTTTATTATATTACACATTCTGCTGTTGCAATTTGAGTAGTTTCTAGTCGGGGGTATTCCAAGTAATGCTGCTGAGAACATTAGTGATATAATACTCGGAGCACATGTGCCCCCGGCAGCATATCTGCTGGGAGTGGAATTGCTTGATTGTGGAGGATGCATGAGTTCAGCTTTCTTAGATTATGCTGAACTGCCATCCTAAGTGGTTATGAGACTGACCTAGGCTCCTTACCAGCAGTTGGTGCTGTGTCAGACAGGACTTTGAACACTGTTTTCTTATCACCAGCCCCTCCTTATCTCACCTCTATTGCTCTTATTTCTTGATGATTTCATTGTTACCCTGGGCTTGCTTTATACAAAAGTAATCTTATTTTAAATGTATCTCATTGAAATTCATCTTGCTCCAGTTTTATATCTTTCTTTCTTGCCTCTCCTCTTCCACTGAACTTAGAAACGTGTTTAGGATTTTTTTAACCGAGTATGTCAGGAGACAGCAGCATATTTGAATCAGACAAAAGGTACTGGGGAAGTCACAGGTTTTGAATGC